CTGCTGGCTGCTGAGGCTGTGAAGCCCCAAGGTTGACAAGTAAAAAGGCACAGTCCTGATGTTACCAAACCACACGGCAGGCCATTAACTTAAGTCCATTGTAAGTCCCAAGGTTGGCAGAGCATGGCAGGCTGCTAAACAACGACACAGCTGCATGCAGGCTCCAAGCGTACCAAAGGCTCGAGACCATTCCCAAAGCTTCTCCTTATACACAGGAAGCAGACCACATACCCCAAAGCAGCTACTCAGGGGCTCACAGTAGATTTCACCATGGACTGATTACCAGTCCCATCATGGGGAATACTATATCCAGCTGCCCAGCCACTCAACCAGGCCTAGCCAAGTTGACACACAAACATAACCACCACAGGGTGGGGGTGGGGGGGTAAAAAAAAGTCACAGAACCCACAGAGGTGTTGGGGACTCAGAATACCCACACCAAGAGTTGAGAGACTGGATAATCTTACTGGGAAACAGATCAAGACCCCCTTGGCTTGGGCTCCCAGAGTCCAAAAAGGAGTGGAGAAAAGGGAGAAACTCCCTTTAAGTAGGCAGAGCCCAGGAATGAGATCACAGCAGTGGGCTGGGGTTCAACTCTTCCATGACCCCTTTTTAGCACAGAGCGGACTGGGGTACTAGATTTTTGTGGCTTCTCAATCCAAGCAGAAAGTAGTGCCCTCTACCCTTTAGGGTCTCTGTCAATTTTGAACCACAAGTCAGCGCAGCTTACAGACTGACACAGATTAGGAAGAAGGAAGAGGCCATCCACTTCTCAAAGAACTGACCAGGGAAAACCTTATGAATAGCAGAGAAACACGGTCTGTTACAGTACTAGGCAACTATATAAATAGCCCAGAAACACTGTCTAACACAGGGTAGGAAGACAAGTCACTTAGGTCGGAAGGCTCTCAAAATACAACCAGGAAAGAGCAGCATCATCAGAGGACAATCAACCTTACTGATATGGATAAAGTAAAGCTTTCAAGACCTCCACTTGCTGACGTGACATACCCAAATTGAAGATAAACAGCTGCAAGCATCCATTAATAATCTGAACATGGAATGTATGAAGCAGGAATCTAGGAATATTGGAAGTTTGTCAAAAATGAAATGGAATGCATAAAGATTTATATCCTAGGCATTAGTGAGCTGAAATGGACTGGTTTTGGACATTCTGAATCAGACAACTATATGATCTACTATGCTGGGAATGACAATTTGAAGACGAATGGCGTGGCATTATTCATCATCACGAAGGATGTTTCAAGATCTGTCCTGAAGTATAATGCTGTCAGTGATAGAATAATATCCATATGTCTACCAGAAGACCGGGAGCTCTGGTAGCATAGTGGCTAAGACACTTGCCTGCTAACCAGACAGCTGGCGGTTCAAACCCACCAGCCACTCCTTGGAAGGAAGGTTGGGCAA